TCATTTAGGTCCCAGACCTGCCATTAGGTGAGAAAACTTGAATTATACATTTTGGATTTTAGTCTCCTCATCTATGAAATGAAGGAGATGAATTAAATGACACTGAAACAAAAACCTATTAATCTATTAATCTACCTTCCTAAGTGAAGGGGAATCAGTGGACTCCCAAAATGTATAACAACAGGTCTTAGGGGTGAAGTAATTAAAATTCCTTTAACTCAATATTTATAAACAATCTATCTTAAGTCTCACAAATCAGAAAATTCTATCCAGCCAACATGAATAATTTCTTTTAAGAATTAATTATATATAATTGGGTTATATATTAACCCAATTTATGTTTTGTTACATAAAGCAATTTCTTAGAAGAATGTTTCCTTTAGAATCTGATTGCCCCTGTAAAAACTAAAAACCAAATTCATAAATCTAAGTATTATGCAGGTGAATGACAATCCCATGAATCCTAGACCAATAAAATCCACCACGTCAACTTATTTCACTACTATTGTCACAAAAAGTTTGTTCTGCTCCACACATAATTTTCTCCCAGGTACACATCTGAGATAAATTTACAATAGGTAGCAATGTACCCAGGCCACAGAGCAATCTACTAGATGCTTAAACCAATGATGTCTAACAAACTGAGTTATTGTAGTGAAATAAGATTGTTGAGATATAATAAAGTGGAGAGCTTATAAACAGGTAATATAAATGAGCTTAAAAATGAAAAAAATATACATGAAACCAATATAAAATGTGCTCCAGGGGCCGGCCGAGTGGCTCAGTTGGTTAAGAGCTCGCTCAAGAGTTTGAGCTCTGAGCAACAGCGGTTCGATGCCCGGTCTGAGCTGAGCAGTCGCTGAGCTGCCAACAGGTGGCAGGATGGCTCAGCTTAAAAAAATAAATAATAAATAATAAATAAAAAAAATAAAAATAAAATGTGCTCCAGTATTCAAGTCTCATTCCTTTCTCATGCTGAAATTTCAAAAAAAAAATTTTTATTGTATTATTTTTGCAAATCATAAGTAGTACTCATGGTAGTATAACTTGCTGAACAGAACTGGAGAGAAAGCAAAATAAATATATTACCTA